GACTGCATTGACCCACACAAGCATGCTATGCTTACACATGTTTTTCCTCTGGAGGGCAGGATCTGAGGAGTGCTGCTGGGAGCGGCAGTCAATGTGGTAGTGGAGTATGAGTAGCCACACCAGCTGGAGAGTCTGTTCTGTGTTTCCATCAAGGATATCTCCTGCATCTAAGCAGTAAGAACGGATGAAGAATGAATGACCATACAAGTAGTGGGTAACATTTAGCTACCTCTCTACCTTTTGCAGGGATTTCCCTCATCCAAACTAACTAGCTAAACATTTTTATGGCCAGCATAAAAGGTGTCTTTAGTGCACACTTATGGTTGTTGGTGCATTCAGTCCCTGTATTACAATTATATACACAAACTTACTGATTCCTTTGAGTTGTATTTTCTCTTCTTCTTTCAAGAACCGAAGTACAATTGTTAGATTCTGAATCTTCTGTATTTGGCTTTTGGGAGATGCATAATACCTGCAGTGCATAAATTAGTTTGTTACATTGTGCGCATAGAACACACCGCACGCGCATCGGAGCACGTGCAGGGCATCGGCGGAAGCAGTATTCTGGCTTTTCTTTTGCTTCAGCGATTGCAACTGCAAGTGCAGCGACAACTGCTCCCTGCGTATGCTTTAACGTCAGAACGTACCCTATCGGCCCTCGCGCTCCACGTGGTTGTTGCGCTCAACCCTCTCTGCGTACGCCCCCCGCAGGATTTAGACGGTCTAGGATTTACCTGCCAGACATTCTGCTGCCGGGAGACAGAGTCTCAATCAGCTTCAGTAGAACTAGACCATCGCCAAGGTCCTTCTCCAAGTCCTGCACTTTCAGTCCAGTCTCGAGAAGACATTGATTGATCCAAGCCGTGAAGGTCAGCTTGCGGACGCAGGCCGCAGGCCTTCCGCAGCGGCAGGCCATTTCGCTTGGCTAAATTTGACCTCACCCTCTCACTCGTAGACACAGTTTTTACGAACGATTCTGATGAGCGATTTGAAATCCGTCCAAATATTCCTCGACCGATGAAAGTAGGATTCGCGGCGTGGAAGTGTCCTATGCGGGGACTGCGAAGCTGCGGCAGTGCGCAATCTTTTATAGCGCTGGATCGCCGCGTGGATATGCACAAGGCACTTGTGCGAAACGGGATTTGGTTTCTTTCGCGAGCATTCGCTGCGTCGCGTCGTCGCCTCCGCGCACGCGCATCACGCACGTCGAGTCACGATCGCATACACACGACAATTGGATCGGAATACAAACTGTTGCTATGCGACATTGCGAAGACGACACTATGGCCATGGAGAGACTAGCCATTCCTCCCGAGTTCTCTACCTATGCTGAAGAGAAAGGGATCTTTACCCTCTACGAAGGCATGCTGGAGGCGCTACTTACAGCCAGACCGGAGTGCCCGCTGCAGTTCCTCAGCCACTACCTCTCCATGGACAGAGCAAGGAGTGGGTGGCTGTAGCTAAACATAGAATAGCGCTGGGTACTACAGTAGGTGACTCTGTGGGTGGACTCTTTTAACCGGTTGACTGTTGTTCTCCAGTGACTTGTGTGGTGGTGTATGGACCACCATGCTCAGGCCAGCATTCTGTTGTAAGTGAGATGAACCTTGTCACACTTAGTGTACACCCACTTCACGCATTTCATCCCACTCTTGGCAGAGCAAGCTGATTGCTCGCAAGTTGAGAGCAGTTCATGTGGTCCCAGAGAGAGTGCTCAGGGAAGACCAGTCTCCTGCAGGCACCCAGGTTGATCTGCATTGCAGCATACCCCTAACGAATTTCTATAATGTGTGCTGCTGTAAGATTTGTGAGGAATTTACTTGGTTTGCTCTTGTATCTAACAGGCTAGAGCACTTGCTAAGGAAGGAAAGGTGAGTGATCAATCACACCCAAACACTGCGGTTAGAGATATTATCACTTTTATCAGCTTAAGAAACACTTTGTGTATAATAGAAACTTACTTGCCGTGGTGACTTAGAGGAACTAAATAGTCTTTTATGTACATACAAGACAGTTGCTATTACCGTTGATTGCAGGAAGTTACTCCTGGATTGTGGGCTGCAATCATCCACTCTCGCACACAGCAAACTGACTGTCAGGATAAGGTATATTATAGTAGAACTGCTGATTTTGTTTGTTATAGCGCCCTCATTTCAGGGATGGGTGTTAGAGGCGTTCCCTCGTACAAGAAAGCAGGTAAATACACACATACATAATGCTGAAATTCTACTGTTGTGCATGAGTTGCATTAGCTATGTACATTACTGTATAAAATAATGTCAGGTGTAATTGAAACGAATGTGTACTAGGTGGGCTCACTTTGCCAAATATAATTATATAGCACTGCCACAATATACGTAGAACTACTCAGAGTTTCACACTAACTGTTTTGGTAAGCTTCTGAAATTACACACTCGTGCTCAACACTGACCTGTATTCATTCCTACTCTGATAGCCTGTTTTGAGTCTTCCCAAACTACCTGGAAGAAGAGTTTGAGGTGTAACTAAAGTATGCATGTGTGAGACATGCCCTGCAACTCTCTAGCAGTGTAGTTAGTAGTTGTGAAGAATATTTGTCTTCTTGAGTGTGTGCCAGACTGTATTGCTCCTCTGACCATCTGTGTGTGTTACTGATCCACTAAAACGAATGTGAGAGCTACATACACGTGTGCAAGTGCTGTAGCAATGATCAAAACAGGCCATTAGCTACACTACCAGCGAGAGTCGATACACGCCCCGCATGGCAACCTCTGGTGCCTCCAAGGTACGTATGTATGTAGAGCAAGCGCAAGTGGTCGAGGTAAGACAGTGCTAATTTACATATTAGCTCGTTCACTTGGTTTTCGCGCCGTAACTCCCAAACGCAGCAGTTTCAGAGAAAACCCTACATATTTCGACCTTTATCCGACGCTGAATACGTGGTATTGTTTGTGGAGCGATTGATGGCTCGTGAAGTGAGATGGCTTGCGGACTGACAGACACATGACAACTACCGTAACCCTCACTGTGCATGCGCGCCAAGGGTTAATAATTGCAAAAGTTCACCTATGCATGCATGCATCACATATGACAATAAATATGGTACGAGTGGCAACATCTGATACAAAGAGCCAGTTGCTAACGAGGGTGGGCTCGCTTTTCTCGTCAACTTGTACACATGCATGTGTGTGTGTGTGAATTCCTATGTAAGTGTATGATTGTGACTAATCGTGAATTATGCAGGCACTTGCACTACAATCCAAAGGTGTCATAGCTACTCACTTTGGTAGGTTCGCTGGGTGCTATATGGTGAACATGTGTATTATACAGTATAATACCGCCTTAAACTGCAGTTCATCTTGAGTGTCCTGATGCAGTACTCATTGAAAGATATGGCGGGAAACGTATCGATCCCCTCACTGGAGGTATACATAATACATGTCTGTCGCTTTATTTTAGCGAGTGTGTTAGTGTATATGTATGTTGGTGGTAGGGTGCGTCATTACTTAAAAATTTAACTCCTCGTTGCACACTTTAACACAAAAATTGCTAGACTGAGTGCACCCACAACTGACAGAAGTGTGCACAAAAGACACTTTTTAGCTGCCTATAACAATGGTTAGCCAGTGAGTTTGGGTCAGGGAAATCCCTGCAAAAGGTAGCTAAATGTATGTAAGATTAGCCCGCTACTTGTCTGGTCATTTAATTTCGTTCTTCCTCCATTCGTTCTGCTGAGCAGCAGGAGATATCCTCATTGCACACTTTAAGCTATGTACACCAGAGACAGAATCATACATTGTCGGCAACGCCAACTGAATATTTAGTAGGCCATAATTTACACATTGAAGCATAAACTGCCAGTGGCCGAGACAAACAAGTTCTTCCATCTCTCTACAGTGCCTCCAAGAATGTAGTTTTATCCATAAATTCTTCACACACCATTATAAAATAGGAATAGAGGGAGTACTCAAAGGGCATGGCAAGTAGTTTGTAGTTGGCTAGGTTGCTTGGCCTTGCTACCCCGTTGTTGTTACGTGCATGGCAAGTATAGCAACAAACGGTGTGAAGAACAGAAAGCTAAATTTTGCTGCCTTAAGATCGATAACGTAGAACCTGTGTATCTGTCTGCCTCGTCTCTCCTCTCCTCTCCTCTCCTCCTCGTCCCACACTTCCAGATGTGTACCACCTGGTGTTCAGTCCTCCCACCAGCACAGCAGTGGCAGGCCGTCTGGTTGAGGAGGAGGGAGGGGTCACGGCTAATGTCCACGCCCCTCTCGAACTCTACCACTGCCACTCTCACTCCCTCCTCACCGCCTACTTTGCCACACACTGCAAGACATTCAACGCCGACCAGCCACTAGGGGATCTCGTTTCTCAGGGTCAGCACCTTTTATCATATGATAATACATGTGCGACTGAGTGTGGCCACTTTCTCCATACACTCATGATCTTGTGACAGGTCTCCTATCGCTTTCCTGGATATTGGGTTGCATATTCATAACAGCATCCTTTGTAATAACTCACCTAGCTTTCTGTGAAACTATCTCTGAATATAATATAAGAGTAACAAGAGAACTAAATTAACAGCACATAATACTCTTGGTGCACGATAACAGTAACATGACTAACTAGTGACACTATCCTAATATAATGGGAAAATGAGTATTCTCATTCTTTGGGTAACATTAATATGGCTGCCTTCTTCATTGGCGAGTAATTGTGATTAATTGTACGTCATAAACATATCTGAGTGAGTAATTGCTGGTTGAGGGGAATCTTGTCTATGACACTCTCTCTGCCCCTCCATCACTGTGTTATGACGACTCACTAGCCAATGTTTGTACCTACATATGTCAGTTTCAGTGGAATTAACAGAGTGAGCAAGAAGAAAAACTGGACACTCTTGTTTATCGGCTGCACACTGTGTGTTTAAGTAACATTATAAGGGTGGTATCACTGGAATGGCGGAAAAGGCTGCCTGGGATTCAGAGTATAGTGCAATAACATATGATAGACTGTACCCTGTGTTTCACGTTCATACCATATACAATGACAGGTATATTTCCCAGTAAACCCTAGTGAACCCCCACCTTAGAATTTCATCAAGCGTAATATGATACCATTTATAAACCCTACAAGAAGGTACTGCATGTGTGTGCACTTGTGCACACGCAGCCAATTCCACAGAAACTATAGGTGACTCATTCATTACAGAGGAGTATTAATGCATGCAGGTGTCTCCTGCAAATCTTAGGAAGAAGCTTGACCCTACAAGTGGTATGCAATACATCATTTTAGACCTCCCATCCTCCCCCCTCCTCCCACCCACACAGTGTACCATTTCCTGTGTACTCGCAAAAGAAGTCTGGCGCCACACACTCCCAGAGTGGTGTTGCTGGGTCCCAGTGGCAGTGGCAAGAGTGTGCAGGCCGCCAAGTTGGCCCACAAATACAACCTCATCAACGGTGAGTCTTAGACCTGTACGTATGAATAGCTAAACCTGAAATGTACAATCCAATGGCTTCAAAGTATGAACGATACTGCTTGGCATAATTAGGTCCTGTAGCCAACATGCCCACAATTCATTTCAGAAGCGAGTGCCTTTTTGATGTTCTGTCCTTGCTTTGTAGACAAACACGTTGCTACGATCTAATAAACGAGGTTATCCACATCCTGGTCATACACTTTGAAACATTGGGTGTTGACTTGTTTGCTTTGCCTTTGCCATTTACCTCGCTGTTCACACATACACCGTAGGGGGTCAGACTCGGTACATTTCATACGCATGTCATATAGCACTTGTAGTATGTGGTCTAATGAAGAGTGATATGTAATGACTAGTGGACTGCGAGGAGTTGGTGCAGCAGGAGATGGTATCGGGGAGTTCACTGGCCGACAAGATGAAGCCATTCACGGACAGCAACATGATGAGTATGACATTCCATCACGAGTTGTGTGGCTCTCTTCCAACTAAACACAGATATTATTCCCAAAACAATATGTGGAGAGAATAACCTTCTCCATTTTTCATTGTTAGGGATGTGTGTGTGATCCAGAAGTAATCTTGCTGAGCATGCATAGTCACCGAGTCATAGATCACCCATCCTGAGCCCAGCAGTACATGTATAATACTAGTTAATAGTCTTTTTATATAGTACAATGTTCACAGAATGCAAAATTAGACGAAAGGCTGCGTTTGTGAAATTGGTTATTGCATGTTGAACCTACTCTTTTGTTTTCGTGAAATCTTTAGCTACTATACCTCCTAAGACCTACGTATAAACACTAACTCTTAATGCCCGCCCACCAGCTATGGTCATGAGAAAATCTGTTGCCCTCAGTTCCAGATGACATGGTGCTGTCGGTGGTGACGAGACGACTGGGTTGTCTGGACTGCATGTCGAGGGGCTGGGTCCTCCATGGATTCCCTCTCACTGGGAACCAGGCCGAGCTCCTGGCAGAGGCTGGCTTCAGACCCAACAGGTGTGGGAGATGGAAAATGATGCCGGGTTCTTGGGTGTTGGTTTGTAGATCACTTAAATATTTTTTCACGAACACAGCACACTCACAAAACTTTTTTCGTGAAGAAATTTTTTATAGTGATTTATTGAGAAGACAACCTACTACCTTTCCCTTCCTTGTTCTTTCCTCAACCTTCTCTCTCACTCTACTTCTCTCCTTCCCCTCCTCTTTCCTCCCTCGTGTCACGCAGGGTGTTCTTCCTGAATTTGTGTGAAGAGTCGGTAAAAGAGAGACTAACCCAGCTTCGAGTTGATCCCATATCTGGGGAGAGGTCAGGGTACACGTCGCTTTTTTTTGTCTTGCATTCTTATGGCTATAGGCTTTGCCCACTAAACCTCGTTCTTGATCAATCTACAGGTACCACTTACTGATGAAGCCACCTGCCAATCACGAGCTTCTGAACAGACTCGAAACAGTGAGTCACAGTAACCCTCATGGTCTATCTATCCAACCTGGTGACCTCCTCACCTACCTTAATGTGTATAATTATAACTGATGACTTCTTTTTGAATGCTATATAATAAACTACGAAGTTCACAAAACCTTTCTCCCTCTTTAAAGAATCCCTCTCTATGGCAGTAAATAGGAGTGTGTTGCACAAAGTGAGATCACCAACCTCCTTCCATAGCAGTGCCCCCCCCCACACACACACACTACCCATTTAGCCATTCCTGATTCAGAACCAATCAACCCTACTAGACCATTAGGCATTGTCTGTCACCACAGCACCCTCACGACACAGAGGAGCAGGTGTCCAAGAGACTGGAGATCCACAGGGAGTTTGCCCAGGAGCTGGAGGACGTCTACCAGTTGGGGCAGCACGTGAACGCAGACCAAGACCCTCTCACTGTGTTTGAAGTCATTGAGAGTCTTATGGTTAACCCTCTCCCCATTCTACGCCCGGTCCTGGACGAATAGTCTTACACACTACACACTATCCTCATGTATGTATGTATACACTGCCCCCTGCCACTATAATACATGAGAACTACCCGTATACTGTTGTACTCGAGCAACATGAAGAGTATTATTGTCTGTGCCATTATAATATTAAATGAGTCGGTAATGACACTGATGTGTGCACATAGCTAAAAGGTCTCGGTGGTTAACACACAGAATGACAACATTATGTGGCGTTCGTCGCAGTATGTGCCTCACTTGGTGGCGCTTTTTGCTTTGTTGTCCGTCGCCTTCTGTTTCTCCTTCGCTTTGCATTAGCTGGTAACCCACTGAGTGACGGGGAGGGTTGTAGTCCTGGGCCTTGGGAGGTGTCAGGTGTCCCATCTGATTTGGGACCGGGTGCCCTCTGTCTTGAGCCAATTGAAGAACTTGCGGTGTCCAAGCTGATTTGGGACTTGGACAACTGTCTAGAGACTTGGGGAGAATGTGGTGACCCAGACGATTTTGGACTAGCCTGTGAACATTGTCTGTGGTATTCTCCTCCCCCAGGGGTATTAGTCTGACCTTTTCCTGCAACAGAGTGTCCAGAGGCTGCTTTCTGAGCAGCTGGGCAAGAATGACTATCTTGTCGTGGTGACACGTGCACAGTTTTATTCTTAGGGCCCTCTTTGCATTTCTTTGAGGTTCCCACCACGTTCCTTTGTGGTGCAGGTTCTGTGGTGGTTGCTGGTGCTTGCTGACCTGTCATATGCGGTGAAGATGAAGGACCTGCTGCTGGATTTGGTTCACAGTGGGCTTCCCTAGGGTTTTGGGCTTCCCTTTGGGGTACAGCAATTGCCCTGCCACGATGTCTCCTTCTCCTTCTCTTGGTTGAGACTGCACTATGACTAGCAGCACCTTCTTTCGGTGGGAGGGTGTCTTTCAATTTCCCTTCATTGTGCCCTATAACTGCTGGTTTCTGTGTCCTAGCTGCTAGTTGCATGGTTTGCACCATTAGTCTATCTTTACCATTTTGAGGAGCAGATAAAGTAGTACTGCTTGGTCTTTTTGGGACTTGTTGCAGGCCCTTCCCCTTGCTCAATTTGTGTCCTCACTTGTACTGGTTTATCAGCCACTGACATGGCACCAGCTCCTTGGACTGAGGAGATTTGTACTCCAACAGGTTGGGGTGCGAGTGGACTGCTATCAATCCCTGGTGGGTTGCTAGAGTTCCCAGTCTGTCTATTGTGATGCGTCATTTCCTTTCTTGTTTGCTGGGTCGGCTGAGCCTTCTTGTGCCTCGAACGTTTCCTCTTACGTTTTGCGTGAGCTGTATCATTGGTGCTGTCCATGGTTGTAGCAGCTGGGGATTTCAATTCAGAAGGTTTCTTAGCAGAGGAGTGTGCTGAGGGTATCGCTGTGGAAGGGCTATCCATTGGACGTTTGTCAGGGGTATTTCCCCCAGTACCAGATACCACTTCAACATTGGCAGTTTTAGGCTTGGCTTTCTTTTGTCTTGAACGCTTTCTCTTGGTCTTTGGTGTGGTAGTGCCACTTTGGACAGCACTTTGACCCACTGTAGTAGTCTCGGCCTCAGAGCCCCAGGCAATGTTAGCATGCTCGATAGACTTCTGTTGCTCTCCAATGTGTTCCATATCTTCATGCTTAGGTTTTACTTGTTCTTTGCTACACTCTACTTGTGGTGATGGTGTGTTCTGTGTATCGGTCACACCCTGATGCTCGTCAGTTGAGTGGCGAGAAGTGGTATCTTGTGTTTGATGTGTATGCATGTTCTGTCTTTTGTCACTAGTCACCTGTGTTGAATGTGTACTCTGTGCATTGCTAGGGCCCTGCTGCTCATCAACTGAGTTAATGGAAGCAGTAGCAAGTCGGGGACTCTCACGCGTTAGATCAGCTTCATCAGAGTGAACCGATTCCTCTATGCTTGCAGTGTCTGACGAAGACTCTGAGGCACTATATGGTGGAGTCACCAGTTGAGCACTAAACACTATTTCCTCCAGACGGTTATACAGGGTCGTGTCTACTTCACACAGCCGCTCAGTGGTGTCTCCTGAGCTAGCGAGGTACATGACCAGCTCACCATCATAGAGGAAAGCAGGAGAGAACACCAACATTGGCTCCATGAGGAGGGCATTCAGGGTCCACGCTGCATGGTAGATAGCTTGCCACTGACTGAACCAATGCAGCGTGTCCAGCCACTCTTGGCTCTGGCGAAAGGCTGATGGCAATTTCAATAACCAGCGACGAAGAGAGTTAAACTTCGCATCAGGCAAACCAGAGCATAGCATGAAACACAAGAGCAGAGCTCTCACTAGATGCTCAGGAGGACATGTAGTTTTCGCCCAGTAACTGACAGTGGCTGCCACAAACCTCCAGTCTTGGTAGCTCCCACTCAACTTGAGGTTGATGTTCAGTTTGTCACACTCAAGGATTTCATAGAATAGACTCTGCCTCTCTTGGTGGCCAAGGGACTCGATCGATGCAACAGTCACTCCCCTGAACACTCCACTCAACTCACGTCTTGTCGTTTTGACTCCTGTAATGGTTAACCCACAGCGGACGACTTCAACAACTGTTTCGACCTCTAGCAGAGCGTACATGTGCCGCCGTATGGGTTGCCCGGCCAACACCGAACTTTCCTTTTGAAAATTGTCGGCAACGACGCGAAAAATAGCCTGGGACGAAATTGCAGCATCCATGGGGGATGATGGTAGACGACCTAAGTGAAATAGCCTCACCAACCACTCGGGAAACCTGTCCCCATTGTGGTGCCTGAGATTAGTCGATGAAACCAGCTCCTTGCAGCTGAGGTTGTCTGGAACCTCGTACCACTCCAAAGCTTTCTGACATCGCAGCTCCAGCTTTTTGCCACCAAACGAGAGCTCTGTGAACTCTCTGACTGAAGAAAAGTGACTCAAGTGCCTGCAAATGGCTCTGATGTTGGAGCCTGCACTTCCAGTGTTGGACAGGGAACAAACTATTCGGCTGACAAAGCCCACGGTGCATGGCACCATGAAATCATTGCCTACGATGGCTGGAATAATACAAAACAGGCTCGTATCTCTCAAGCAGAGTTGAGCGGTAAACTGGTCACGGTGGTACACGTCTGCTGTCACTACACGAGAGTTCCCGTAGAAACGGTCAAAGTGAATAAAACCTCCCACCAAACGAAAAACGTAAAAGTCAGAGTCCTGGGAGAGGACAGGGCAGCCGTAGTAGTTGGCTAGTCTAGCAGTGACAACATCTGCCTCTCCGTCAGCTACATAGAACTGGATGTCAAGACTGTAAAGAGCCATGCGGTAGACCTCACTAGAGAGAGGAGGCAGAATTCGTCCGTGGGACTTTGGCTGGCGGGAGGCGTTGTCAGTGATCCTCTTGTGTATAGTATTCACCCATTCCCGCTTCCTCCGCAGGAGGGTATCGATCTTCTGAGCCTCGTCCACGCCGTCGAACACAACGATCGGTGTTATTCCAGACTCCAGGAGTTTGGAATAAAAGCGGCAAACGGCGTTTCTGAACTCCCTGTACTGACCTCCGTTGGACCATTCCATGGTGTGCAGAGAGTGGAGGATGCAGTTCCCGTCCACCACCAGCGTCCCCTGGACCCGCCTGCCGCGCTCCCACCGAGCATAGTGTGTGTCCACGAACTTGGTGAGGCTTCTAATCCCCATCACAGCACTGTGCACCGATTGGTACTTTGTGGCCTTCGATCGATCCTGGCTGCAAACCGGCCACGCCCCCTTCCTACAAATACGCGCGGGCCCTAGACACCTGCGCCTAATAATTATTATGCGAAAAATAGGCGCCCTCAAGCTTCAACGAGCTTGGCTGGATTACGCATGCGCATAAGTGGAATGCGCAGGCGCCGCCGACACAGCTCGCCGCTCTATATACAGCGGGTCTTTTCACTATTGAACACAGACAAGAATACGCTCTAATGTATAGAAGCTTCTCTTATGATACACTTTTCGATAAATGTTTTATATTATGAAGTTCACCTGAGTTTCATCTGAGTGGTGGGGAAAATAGGTAACATTGTGAGCAAAATAGGCAGTTTATATATAGCTTGAAGAAAACAAAAAAAAGATCGAGCAGATTGGGTTCAGGCCTGACGCACGAGTTCACATGGCCCCAGGTGTGTACGTACACTGACCTGCACAACTGAACTCACACACATTACAAAACGAGATCCTAAAAAGACAACAACCTCATCCTACTAGAGGTAGACCTAGATATATAAGAGAGATTTCACTATTTCCATAGACAGAAGATATCGCGGGGTAGATGGGTCCCGAGGGTAAGTCTCTGAAAGCCACTCCAAGGTATTTGCCGTTTATGTCAAAAGCAAGAGTTCTGTGAGTCATGTCCAGGTGCACCCCGATCCTCTGGTGTAACTGAACCTGCATGATACACACGTCACATGCATGTTCAACCGACAATGTGACACAGAATGGGTAGGAAAAGTAATCCTATACACTAGGTAGGTCCGCTGTAACTTATGTGAGTCCCACAGGATTCCATTACCTTTTACCTTGAAAGCCTTCTCTACGCTACGTCTCTCAAGCACTAGATGCTACAGCACTAGATGCCCAGTCCTCACCTCCACACCTCCAGTTTGTGGGTAGCTCCCCCAGTTTTCGACCGTGGTGCTGCAGCTGCCTCTTGGAGAGGTCCCAGCCCCAGCTGTTGCTGTCTGAACCCAAGAGAGAGTAGTAGCCCTTTCCCTGGAGCCGACAGCTCTCTATAGCTATACCCACCACTGCATTGGAGCCAAAGCTGGGACCATGCCAGATGACAACCCAGTAGTGCTGCCCGTGAGAGAAACCCCGTTTGCCTCGAATTGCATCTGTCGACTGTGCTACCGGTCGTCTGTGTAAGGTGAGCTTGTTGGGCATCATTTCTATGTTCTTAGAGTGGTGCTCCTCGCTCCAGGTACACATATAGGCAATAAACTTGGATTTCGGCGTCAGGTTCTGGACCAGTTTGTCAGAAATGAAGTCTTGGGGCACCTCGCTGGAGAGAGCTTGTTCCCACGGGTGCTCCGTGGAGTCCAGAAGGTGCCTCCATTTCTTGCACACCATAGAGCTCCGTACTAGGTCACCGACGCTCGGGCAGGTAAGAGAAAACTCGGAGAAGGGCATGCTCTGGCAGCTTTTCCATACCCCAGGCTTGAGCGTGACCGGTCCAAACGCGCGTGGCCCCGCCCCCTGAACATCCCGCGGTTCGAAAGCAGGTTTACGTTAGCTAGCTATAATTATTCTTTGGCCATTGTTTTGTCACAAGGATTCTGAAAGTAATGGCTGAAACAATAATACGTGTATCGTAACAGGCTATTTTGCACATTAGTTGAGCGGCGCGCACGCCGCGCAGATTTCCCAACAGCACGGTCATGCCTATATAGTCAGGACGGGCTATAACCTCTCTCTTGGGACGACAACACGGTTTCACGTACGCTGTACAGCGTCGGTAAGAGGCGCGTTATTGAATCCCTGGGAGGAACACGACAATGTCGAAATCCCAGGAAAAGAGAGAAGGGAGCCTCTCCAGCATGCTCTGTTATAAACTTCATTCTAGTTATACAACCTGTTTAGTAGATAGTAGTAGTAGCTACAACCTTCTTTTTCAGTATGCTATATAATAATTATATACACACGTATATACAGATTCTGTATAGCTGAGTCAAGTAGTGCCGTAGTATGTCGGAGACTTTTCCTCAACACCCTCAATAATCGCAGCCTGCTCTCGCCGCTCTTTCCTCCTCCTGTAGCATCTTGAACATGCTTTCACACCCTCTATGCACAACCTGACGAGAAGTCGAATTGGAAGAATAATAATGATGAAGACCATATCGGCGGACGCTGGACAGAATCCTCAGTCGGCAGAAGTATATATAATATGCTGGTGGTCTCGGCGAGCTGTGCAAAAGCGGAGATTGTGGGCAACTAACGTACGCACTATGGCACGCGTATTATAGCCGCGATTTCATTGGGATACTCCCGCCCTTCCCTTCAAACGGCCTGGCTCCCGCGTTATACAAGGTTGGGGACGGACGACGAACGTTTGTTACACAACGACAAAAACAGATTGGCATTCCATAATGTGCGACAGAAAATTTTTCTTTACTGTCTATTGCAAATTCACCGCGTACGCTGTCGCTGTCGCAGTACAGTAAAAAGCAGATGAGCAGCTAGCTTGCAGCAACAATTGAGGCCTCGTTGATGTTTACATGCTACGCGCGGTGCGCCAGCGTCATCCGGGGCGCAGCCGCCGACGCGACACCCGTCCGATCTGCTTGCGCGTAAGACCCATTGCGCATGTGCGCGGCGATAGGGGTCACGAACCTTTTATATACCAGATCCGACAACCTGTGCACTGCCACTGTCCATTTCGTTCTCGTAGCTGAATTAAAACCACTGAATCCACTAAAAAGCCATGATGATGCGTAAGCCCAGGGAGTACTCTGACTCAGGTGAGCAAATCTTCCCTCACACGTACACTTGCCGACCTGTGTTGTGTGTGCCAGAGAGTGGCTCAGGTGTTGCTCACAGGAAGGTGTCGGTGGACCTGGGTCATCCGTGCAACGCTCTCTGTCTCAACAGAGACTCCTCCCTTCTTGCAGTCGTGGGCAGGAAAGGTCTGTGACCAATCTTGAACCAGGTGCCATGTGATGTGGGGTTGGGATAACGTGAGACGTGTGACGTTGGGTTGGGTAATGGAGGCTATGATTACACACACCATGGTTTGGACAAACATGGACCACAGAAATTGTAAATGCAGAGCATTTTGTGCAAGCAAAGCAGAGCAGTTCGATTTTTCGCACGTTTCATGTCTATTTAGAATCATTATAGTATTTGCAGTGCCTGTCACATACAATGTCATATAAATTCCCACTTTGAAACAACTAAGAAGCCTCGCTTCACTCGCCACTTATGTAACGTTCCGTCACCCTACTACAGAGCCTGGGCATCCTCCATAAGGTGGAAGCATCTTTGAATTTTTTAACACTATTATAAAGGTGCTGTATGCAAGTGTGGCACATGTTATGCTATTACTGTAAACTGTGTGTGTTGATGTGTATACTAGTGTTCAAGATACTGAGACTGGGTCTGGATCAGATTGAGGCTCAGAATGACCTCAGAGACCTCCCCCACAAGGCCCTCAACCTCAACTACAGCAGCAACGACGTGCAGTGGAACCCCAAGGATGGTACGGTACCCACAGGACACCATATCCCATCACCAGCCCACACAGCACCACCACTACTGTGGAGCCTCCTATAATGCACACTCTGAATTAAAGAGAAAGTGGCAGTATAATTAAAAGGGCTAAATTTAGAAACGGCTGAAAATTACTTGCAATAATAATTGTTTCACTTGTTTCGTTTTATCTTTAGTACAACTTGTAAATTTAGCCCTTTTATTATACCGCCACATTCCCTTTAAGGCCACCTCTGTTTCAACCTCATGTACACTGATTATGATTGTCCCAGTGTGTCCTTTATTTGGAGGTTCAACTGAGTGTATGCAGATATTTTTATGCTGTTCTAATAGATGCCCAGCTGGCGTCGGCTCCCACCAATGGCAGTGTGGTACTGTGGGACCTCAACATGAGAACCAAGAACAAACTCTGTTAGTCTGCATAGTACACTGGATAGTTATAAAGCCAACCGACCACTACTGCATGTGTCTAATTTGTGGAGGTGATTTAGGAAGAAGGAAGGGGAAAGGTGAGGAACCACACTTATGTACATGTGGCAGCTCAGTGGTCGAAAGTACGTGCCTTGCCATTCTATCCCTGGTTACCAAGTTTTGAGACATGTATCTTGGTGGACCAGGGTATATACCCACTTCTGCTTCAGTAGCTGACAGGCCTAGCAGAACCTCTATGCATGTAATGCAGGGCTTTTGGAATTGTGGTTAATGGAGAGCCTGCCCAAAGCAATCAGTAGCTCCATTGACTGGTATGGAACAGACTTACGCACTGTTAATATACCTTTGCCTTTCCTCTCCTGGTACCCCTCATTCTATTCTCAGTTCATGTATTTGAGAATGAGCATTCCCGGGCAGTCAACAAGCTCAGTTTCCACCCGAGGGAGCCCAATGTCCTCCTCAGTGGCTCCCAAGACTCCACCATGAAGACATTTGTGAGGGATTATGACCGTGTAGCTGTGTGTGTGTGTGTGTGTGTGTGTGCGTGTGTGTGTGTTCAGAGTATACTGTGCCATAGTACAGTGGTTTGAGGTTTGCCTTGTGTTGTGTTGTAGATTCTAACCCCTACCAGCTGTGTTGCCCTGGTAGCTCAGTTGGTAGAGCGCTTACCTAGACTGCAGTGTGTCGTGGGTTCGAATCCTACCCAGGGGAGCTCTTCTTCGTTGGAATCCTACCCAGGGGAGCTCTTCTTCGTTGGAATCCTACCCAGGGCAGCTCTTCTTTGTTCGAATCCTACCCAGGGGCAGCTCTTCTTCGTTCGAATCCTACCCAGGGGAGCTCTTCTTCGTTCGAATCCTACCAGGGGAGCTCTTCTTCTTTCCTTAGAAAAAAAGAGCTGTCGTGGGTAGGGGGAAAATGAAGAGCTGCCCTGGGTGTAGTTGAATTGCCTTGCTACCTCACTTCGTTTGTTGACACGTGCGTGTGTGTGAGTCTGGGGCTTTCTGTTTGTGTGCAGGACACAAGAGCCAAGAAGTCAGTACAGACGTACAGGGCAGCTGACTGTGTTAGAGATGTGGAGGTGCACTTTATAACACTGTACCCCATGATGCCTACATGTTCCAGTCCCTGCCTTACATCTTACCCCCTAACTTTTCCTCTCTCTCTCTCTCTCTCTCTCTCTTCCAGTTTGCTCCTCAGTTTCACGAAAACTACTTTGCTGCCTGTTTTGACAGTGGGTCTCTCCAGGTCAGAACCACCAGCAACATACTGTATAGGACATAGCTAGTGAGGCAGTAATGGATGGTGTGTGTGTTAGATATGGGACCGGAGATTCCCAGACTCGTCCATCAGAGCCCAGTCGTGTCACAGTGGACCAGCCTATTGCTGTAGCTGGCATCCTGACCACGAGCAGTGGATTATGTCGGCTGGCAGGGACAAGATGATTAAGGTATTCTAAAGTGGAACAAGTCAGTAAGACGTGTACAATTAGGTTGAATATAGTGTTCCAGGTGTATATGTCAGCTGTTAGCTTTCGCGTCGTTCAGTAGGGGGCAGCCACCAGCCCAGCATACCAAGGTGGTGGACGATAACCTGCCTCCCTTAAAAGTCAGGTTCAACGTGTTTGTGTGTCCCAGTTTGTGCCCACGATGCATGCTGTCTCCTCAAAGCCTGCTTTGGGTGGAAAGGGATGCAGCTGATTTACACATGCACAGACAACTTGTGGTTGTGTGGTGAGGCGACTATGGTTCTTTAGATTGTAAAACATGTGTGTGTACCTGGGTGGAGGGAGGGTGACTTATGCTGCTGGTTTTTCTTTCTCTATGACTAGTATGCTATGCACATGCTTTTCATGTAGGTATATAGTGTAGGATTTCATGGTGCCTAGTGTTTCAAGTGTCATGGAGCTTTAACACTTAACCAGCCACGGACACATAAATGTGTCCAGAGCCTCCATAAGTCCATAAGAATTTATACAGGGGTTATAATACAGGGCACTAATACTTTATACATCAATTTTAAGCAGATACCCATGGCATCCAAAGGGTTAAGTGGTGCTTAGGAGAAGGTGGGGTTGGTTGTTTAGTGTATGGTATTGTAGTGGCTGGGAGTGTTTCACTTTGTGTTAATGTTGTATCACTTTACTATGCCTGAATACACTATCTTCCTTGTTGTCTGGAACCACCCCTAAAACTTCAGTGCGCAGTTGGCAATGCCCAACAATGTCTTATCGCATGTGAAATAGCAGTTCACGCTTGATTTACTAAAATAAGGACGGAGAAAGAAGAGTGAGAGGTGTTTCCTGGCCTTAATTTCTTGTGTATAGAGACAAACCACAGCTACTAACAGAGGGCTAGCAAATGCAGATATACATGTCAACTTGCATGTACATATTATGCTCAAAACCTTCACTTAACATGTCAAACTAATCACCAATGATACAGTCCCCCGGTGAGAGCTACGTATAAACATGGTGTTCTGTATGCAGGTCCATGACATTCAGCTGGGCAAACTGCGAGAGGTCTACATTGTCCCTGCTCTGTTCTCTGTGGTGAGGGCCAAGTGGAGACTTGGTCACAAACATCATGTCACCAGGTATACACGTTCTGCCTGGATGCTAAACCCGGCCTGATGCATAACCACCCTACATGAGTAATCGTGTGTAACAGTGTTGTTGGGACGTCAGATAGAGATAAGTGGGTAGGTTTGCCTCACTGGACAATTGCTTGGGTCATGCATGTGTCTGTTAGTCGGCTTTTCAAAGAGCTACTGCAGCATTCGTAGATACTTATGTATCAAGAAGTAGTTTAGTGTACACTCTGTGTGTATTTTAATTGTGAGCCAAGCAAGCTGACCTCGTCATCCAAACTTCAGTTATGTTCATGTCTGACATAGACTCTGGCAGTTGACAATGTATATGCACGAACATCACGCAGATGTCACACTCAAAACTTCCACTTGTTTGCCCAAAGTCATTTGTTCTGGTAGTGCCTGTTATGTAGTGTCCGTCTCTCTGTCCGTGCGTCCGTGCGTCCGTCTGTCTGTCTGTCTGTCTGTCTGTCTCTCTCTCTCTCTCTCTGCCTGTCTGTCTGTCTCTCTGCCTGTCTGTCTGTTTAGTGGTGAGTGTATGTATTCCTCGATCCACAGCTGCTCACTGTTTCTGGACAATGTGGTGGCAGTGTGGGACGTGAGGCGACCCTACATTCCCTTTGCCTCTTTCACAGAACATAGCGACGACGTCACTGGTCAGTACAATACAAACACTGTAGTCCTTCTTTTTTACCCTGGATTTAGAGAGATGGAGACAGAGGATATACTAGTTGGCAACTTGTATATACTTTAGCCTGTGTGCACCTGTATGCACACACATAGAAGAGTATATATGGGGTGTGTGTGTGTGTGTGTGTGTGTGGGTGTGTGTGTGGGTGGGTGGGTGGGTGTGCTTCCCTATAAAATAAGCGTATGTTTTAAAAGCATTCAGCTTTTTACCATAAATCACCAATTCCCTAAACCTGTGGTGTGTACTGCCCATATATTTGTACAAGTCAGTAACAATTCCGAAATCTGCAGGTTGGCAAGTGTGTTCAGTATGGGTGAAATACATGTACAGACATTGGTTCAGTAGTTAATGCAGACATGATTCTCTCTGACAGACTTCCTGTGGCTGAATGAGAACGTCCTGATCTCCTGTTCCAAGGATGGGAAACTAGTGCAGCAGCTGATGACCAAGGCTCAGAGACCATCCGAGAAGGCTGTGAGTGAGTGAATGAGGGGGTTGGTTGGTGAGTGGGTGAGTTAGTGGACAAGTGAGAGAGGAAGAGAGGGTAGGAGAAGGAGAGGGGGGAGGGAGGGGGAGGGGGGTAGAAGGAGAGGGGGGAGGGAGGGAAGGGGGTAGAAAAAGGAGGGAGGGAAGAAGTAGAAGAAGGAGAGAGGGGAGGGAGGGTAATAGGGGAGAAGGGAGGGGTGTGAGTGGGGAAAAGGCAGTTTCACTGTTCTGATGGATGTCCTGGCAGACTCCTGTGGGTCTCTCATTCTGTCCTGATGGAGGAGTAGCTCTTGCTTGCAGTGATTCTATCGGCTACCGCAACAAAGCTACCCAGAGGTATATACACTTTACACAAACCCTGAAGCATTACTGAACACAAACTGAATGCTGTTTAGCCCGACTTTCCCCTTTTCCCAGCCCTAGCCCCTGAATATGAAAGCGGATGCATTTTGGTTAACCTCATGCAAACCAGGGAAATGCCTGGAAAGGCTGCTTCAAAGAATGTTGATTGCTTTTTGATCATTTTCATTTGATGCCTATACAGTTAAATGTGTTATACTGTATGTAACATCTGCCCACCAGTTCCATGCAGTATGGTACAAGTCGTAACCCGATGATGTTCCGGAGACCAGAGGTGGATCCCTACCAGCAGGCCTTCCTCCAGCATACCTCCTCCCTCAAGGAACACAAAGACACCAAGAACAACGTGAGACTATCTGTAACTCTCTGTTTCTCTCTCCCTCCTGTCCTCCCTCCATTGATTGGCTTTCAGGCATTCCCCTGATGATAATACTCTGGCCCTAAAGTCATTTATTTAATTTCAGTAACCTGGTTTTCTGCGTTCAGAGAAAGCATCGCTCGCGGGACTGACAGAAACTCTAATGTCCTTCTCCCACAACTCTTGCCAAGTTGTTTCTATAATCCTGTGATTACATCATAACCTTGACACTCCTAATAAAGGACATCTCAATTTCCCAGTGTTAATACAATATTAGTGAATTCTTCGACAATTTCATTGTTCTAGTGCTTCCTTTGAGTATCCACCGCCAATCCGCAAATTTTGCGATAATGTGATGTGATCTGGGAAAGTTGAAGCCTACTCATGAGTAAACTGTAAATATACTGCAAATGATTGTATCTCTGTCATAATATTGCAGCCTGAATTGAGGGCCTTTGTGCAGTGTGCCACAGACTACCTACTCAGCGGGAGACCACTACACGAGCTGTGCGACCACAACTATAAGGCCAGTGGGCAGTGGGTGTCAGTGTTCAGTGTGTGCAGTCAGGGAGGGAGAATGCCACTGTGCAACAGACAATGGGAGTATTCAATGTTGGTTATTTTCCTCTCCTGCTAAGTGGAGCAAAACCTATATATACTCTGTGTGTGTGTACACCACCACTGGTGATTATTCTCTCCCACACGTGTGTTTGTAGCGCTCTATGTATGTACATTCTGTGCATACACATCCACATTATGCTGGCTCTTTGCTTCCTGGGCTTTCACTGCTATATACTTTGCTCATCTTGAGGATGTAACGTGTATATACTGTAAGTTTTAACCACAGGTGGCCAGTGGACAGGGTCGACATGACGTGGCCAGTCATGGCTGATGCTAAAGCTCCTCTACTGTGGGGAGGACACAGAGTGCTCGCGACTTGGACTCATCCCCACTTCTCTCACCTCCTCACGCATCCCTACCCTACCCTCCTCCACTGTATGTACACACCTCTCCCTACACTGTCTACACTATACAATGACCTCTCATTGCACTGTATTCAATCGTACATACATACATCATGGTCCGTGTATGTAGCACTGTACTTTCACTGTGGTGTGTATGTACTTTTCACACACATATATGCATAGAAACTAGCGATTTCCTGTGTGTATGCATGTGTGTGTAGCCGCCATGTATCACAGTGGAGGAGGCTGGTGTCCGTAGTCCCAGTGAGGAGTCGGGTCTGTTCATGCAGCCACCCAGAGACCGCACTGCTTCCTTTGGTATATTGAACTACTGTAGTATCTATATACCACTGGCTTTCTGTTGTCGTTCCTATAGAATCTGGCCATGAAGACAACGAGGTCGATGGAGAAGATGGAAACCCTGCCATGATTGCTGGTATAATAACTAGGGAGAATGCAGGGCATTTTTGGCGAGCGGGAGCGAGCACACAATAGTGCACGAGCAATCCTAGCTTATTTCCAACTTGTACCTTCGAACGATGAAGATTGGGAAGAGGTACAGCCTTGGTCAGGCACCGAAGAGTGCAGCGAATGCCGTCGAATGGAGGAGAGTTCTCTCGCTGGCTAGATCGATCGGCGCATATATCGCGAGGTGCAGTATGTAAAAATGTGTAAAATGTTTTGTTTTTTTTGGTCCCCCCCATGTTTTTACTTTTACAAAAAAAACAAGCAAAAAGACAAAATGAACAACAACAACAACAAAAAAAGAAGAAAGAAAGACACAAAGGGTAATAAACATGGGGTTCTGGCCACGCCGTCCATGAGTTCGGACCATGTGCACTTACACGACGTACAGACGTATATAAATATGTAAAATCGCGCTGTTCGTACCATTAGGTTGGCTCGCTCCCGCTCACCAATTAATAATAATACTCGTGTGTAGTACACAATAAATGTGTATGAAGTGGCGGGTTTCTATGCCATAGCACAGTGTGTTTGAGGGTTGTCTTGGCCTTGTACTGTATAGCTGACTTTGAACCTTGCCTGCTGAGCTGCCCTGGTAGCTTAGTGGTGGAGGACTCTGTATAGAAAGCAGAGTATCATGGGTTTGACTCCCACAAGTGTTGTCCTAGGTGTCAAACAGTACTTGCCTTGCGTTGACACCCCTGTGATTTATATAGTGATGGATTTCTTTGAGGATGACCAGGCCTCTGATCAAGGACCTACTGAGAGTATTGTCATACCACCTTCCAGCCACTCCTGGGAGGTCTGCTGCCTCTCTCTTCTATATGAATCTCGCTCTATCTTATCCCATCTCTTCTCTCTCTGTATCTATTGACTGTGTCGTGCATCACTGCTCACAGACAGCTCAGTTGCCTCCGGAGCCATTTCGACTGAAGCACAATATTGTCATGAGGTTCGCTCACTTACGTAGCAGCATACACATGAGCTCTACATGCATGTATGTATATACGATGTTTATATATCAGACCTCCAAGTCCAGAGCACGATGCCTCCTCTGCCATTTCAACAGCAGCACAAAGGTACATACATAGTATAATATAGCATGCACATTTTCTTTGCCCTCAATTTCTAAAAGTACACAACTTTCCCTTTCCTTCACTACTTACCACCCTCTTTCCCCATCTCTCGGCTCTGGTGTATGTACTGTGTAGTGTGGTGGAGTCTAACTCGTCCTCCAAGCAGCCATTACAAGACTCCCGAGCCCTCAGGAGAAAGAGCTCTGGAGTTATAGCTGTACGTGCAGTAGTCAACATCTCTATTCCTTATGGCATAAAGTGGATGAACTCTAAGGGAAACGTTCATATTAAAAACAAATTAGGCTAGCTGTACAATGCCTAGGATCCATATTAAACAACACTGTTTAGTCCACTGTACTATACACTATCAAAGTAATTAGTATCTCTTTGTATACATAGTGTACAGATATACAGTGATAATGTAAGTGCGTAAGTGCTGGCATGGATTGCTCTCTTCACTGGGTGTCCTCGGATTAATTAATCCGTGCATCTCGCCTAGACTGAAGGAAGCATGGTAGACTATTTCTTGTGACCTAGTGTACGGATACATAGAGTTTTGATGTCTTACGTACACATGTGGTGGTATAGCTCCTCTCTTGTCACGTACTCTTTGATGTGGTGTTGTAGGAAGCCAGCCACTGGAACTACCAGGAGGTAGTGGCACAGATGTTGAAGTACTATGCAGAGCTGGTCAGTTGGAGATGCAATACATCATAATAGGCAGAACACTGTGTGTTACGCATGAGAAGCAGAACTATCTCCATGTACATAGACATGTACTCATCCACGCATATGGAAAGGCTGTCCTGTTTTTTGTCTAGAAGTGTGTGTGTGCGTGTGACACTTTCAATGTAAGGATGGCTGAAATGACAACACCATGAGGTCTAGGAGTCCCTGATTTTCCTTTCTTGTTTTTCAAGGACTTCTCTATCCTCTAATAATGGCCTCGTAGGTGGTATACATATCTGACAATGATGACAGCACTGTTGCACATACCATATGCTCCAAATAGACGGAATTTTAAATTTCCCGATGGTGTGTATATACCGTACATGTGACTTTCGCCAAATCGTTTTAGTATCAGCTTGCTCTTTAAATCTATTACAAAGATGTGTGTATGTATGTGTGGTGTGGTGTGTGTGTTTCAGGGAGACGTCCAGATGAGTGTTACTGTACTGCTTGTTCTGGGGACAGGGCCAGTCAATTAGTGGACGAGCTCAGCATGGAGCACTGGTTCTCCTCATACATTGGTAGGTCTCCACAGAACACAACACGCTTTAACACAAGACTTTTTCCGGGGGACCCCTCTCTGTGCAACCCTGAATTGTAAACTGTGTTGCTTGTGTGTCAGATTTGCTGAGTCGGCAGCGGCTGTGGTGTGTAGCCGCGGAGATCATTAGAGAATGTCCACTGGAGAGCGTTAGGAAGAGGAGTCAGGTACATACGTATATACAACTATGTGTGTATATACATCTGTAGGCAGTAGGGAACTTCTAAGGGAGAAAAGGTCCGTGTATGGTCTGAGAGCGAGAAATCTTTTTGGGGAAAACTAATAGATTCATGGAAGTTTTCCGGTCAGCCTTTATAGTTGTCACTGTTATCTCTGTACTGTAAAGAGATGTTAGCTGGAGACCAAACCATGTGTAAATACTGGTTTGTCAATATGCAAAGTATACTGTGGTGCATTAATGTGCACTGGCCCAGTCATTTACACTGACGTCATATGTGTGGCTAATTACAGGAGTCCACCATGTACTACACCACCTGCGGCCACTGCAACAAGAGCATGGAGAGTGGAGGATGGCAGTGCCATAGATGTGACAAGCTCACCAGCTGGTGCTCTGTCTGGTACGTACGGATACACCACTACGAATTCACTCCTACAAGAGGAAGTGTGCTGTACTTTATTGTGAGCGACTTGTGAGCAATTAATGCACGCGGAAGGGACATGTGGACAGAGAGGTCAAACTGTAATTTCTGAACCCTAATGGCACAACACTGTCAATAGTCTTATTTGTCATTTACTTCGACCTTCTTGAGTTGTAACATGGAATGTGCAAAAGTGTTGATTAGAACCCTCTCAAGCCAAATGCAACTGTGCCATACATGTTCCCCACCTGATTCGACCCTTCCCTTCTTGCTACCCCCCTACCCCCTCCCCCTCCCCCTGTTATATCTCATGTAGCCATCGGACAGTGCGAGGTCTGTTTGTGTGGTGCCAGGGCTGCGGTCATGGAGGCCACCTCCTCCATATGAAGGACTGGTACTCTGCCCACTCCTCGTGCCCGGCAGGCTGTGGCCACAACTGTATGGCCAGCAAACGCCTCTCCAGCTAGCACCAAAAATCCCACGGGATTTCGTGTTGTCGTTTTTTTATTTTTGTCTTCTCTTTGTTGTTCTGTGTGTTTGATGCTCGTGAATGTTATCAATCATGGTATTTTCTGAAACTTGTCCCTATGGTCATACTCTAACAGCGGTATATATAATTACGGTGGAGCTTCGCACCAGAAGTCCTGAGTTCCTTTATGATTGGCGAACAAAGCGAGCCAGCCCAGTTGTCTGAATGTGGAATTCTTTTCCATGTACATATATATACTATATTATATGTATATTGGCATATACCGTAATTGATGTAATTGTAAAATTCTATATACTCATAAAAACGCGTGAAATATCAAACTGCTCGCTTCGCCTGTAACTTCCCTGTATATAGGAGGTCTAAAGCCATGATGTGTCCCCCTCTGAAACGTTCTTCATATACAACTCTTGTACATTTTGTGTTGTGGTCCATGATGCATTTATGTTAGTAAGCCAAGTGTACCGTCTATTCAGATAGCCTTTGTACATAATTGAGTTGTCTGAGTGAGAACAGTACTGAATGAAGAACTGCTCATCCAGAGAAGGTAGTGGTAGCTAATCCCTTTGTACGGTGCCAGTCCATTGAGCACCTATGGCGACTAATAAGAATTATGAGTATTGTTTGCGTAAGAAATGTGAATATTAACAAAATTCGTACATTTTGTCTTGTGGTCCATGATGCAATTTATGTTACTAAGCCAAGTGTACCGTCTATAGATATATACTACCTTTGTACGTAATTGTGTTGTCTGAGTAAACAGTAATAATAGTGGTTGTACTGAATAAAGAACTACTCATCCAGAGAAGGTAGTGGTAATCCCTTTGTATGGTGCCAGTCCATTGAGCACCTATGGCGACTAATAGTTTGCGTAAGAATTATGAATATTGTAGCGTAAGAAATGTGAATATTGTTTAGTAACAAAATTAGAACAAAGCCACTTCCATTTAAGGGCAGGTAGCATTACATCACATGATCTAGCAATACTGCAGGCAGCCAGTTGAGTGCTGCCATCCATTTGCTGCACTCCCACAAGGGGAGCTGTCTATAAACATGGGCTGAAGTTCTAATCCGTCAGTCTGATCGAGCTAGCAGATGCTGGCAGCTCACTCTACACTGTGTAATACTATATCTATGTTGTAACTCACTGCTTTTGGGTAAGAGTTAGTATACATCCACATTAAGTCATTGGCTGTGGTCTTTTCACAGTCTGCAGTTGCTGAAGAGATATAGGGAGAAATGGGTGACTATGACATCATAGAGAAGATATTTGCCAATGCTACCAACGGCTCTGAGGGTCATAGTGAGCCATGTCCCTACGACTACTGTGTAAAGGACACCCTCTACCGCATAGTCGTGGGCTCAATCCTTTTTGCCATCATCTGGCCTTTCGTTGTTCAAGACGTCAAGTTCTTTCAGCTTGGTCGTCCAGCCGCAGCCTTACTAGGGGCCACTCTGATGGTGGTTTTCAACATAGTACCTCAGAGCCAGGTGTACCACGTCCTGGGAGATGCAGCGAACCTGCAGGCCATCTGTCTCCTGGTGGGCATGATGATGCTGTCCCACTACTACCAACGAGAGGGTCTCCTGGACTGGGTGGCACTCTGGGTGTTGAGGGAGGGGGGCAGATTCAGGAGTGTTCTGTGGAAGGTCTGCGTCCTATCTGCCGTCATGTCCGCTATTCTCACAAACGACGCCACATGTGTAGTGCTGACTCCCCTGTTGTTGGGCGAACACTCGAAACAGAAGCGACCGTCACACGAGATCCCTCCACTCCTGATCGGTATTGCCACCTTCGACCGCCAATATTGGCAGTGCCTCAACCTTCTTTGGGAATCCACAGAATGCCTTTATTGCTAGCCAGGTGGGGCTGTCCCTGCTCATCTTCTTCATCACATCTCTACCGGCTGCAATCGTCGGTGTTGCGATAAACACTGGTCTCCTCTATCTGGTATACTACAAGGTAGTGTTTAGGCGAGACAGCGAGATTTCTACTAGTGATGAGGTAGCACCTGGTCACACTCATGTTTCATCTGTAGGTAATGGCGTCGTAACACCTCCTACTGCATCGATGAGCATAGAAGGCCATGTATTACCATCAAGTAACCAGACACCACCTAGTTCAGAGCACATAAAACTGTGGCGGAATGGACAGAGCTCACACAGCAGAGTGTATACTGTTGCCGAGTCAAGTGAGGGCAGCTCACGATCTACTTCAGGCTATCAGGACTGCGAGACATCCCTGGGTGGTCCTGTGACTGACATACACTATGGAGCCACCAATACTGGGGAAAAAGGCTGGGGAAACAGGAAGAGAACCAAGACACCCTCTGCCGTTCCCTCGGCTAAGCCCAGGGGTCTACTAGAGCGCTCAATTCCTGACAAAATCTTCATCGGTTGGCTTGGACTGGTGACTCTGCTGCTGGTTGTACTGCTTGCTATCCCACCTGTGGACAACCTGTCCTTCAACCTCGGTCTTGTCCCTGTCGGTGCAGCAGTCCTGACAATGTTTGTGGACACACTGCTCCACCGCCGTCACTCCAGGGACGCCATGACCAACGTGGACTGGACCATCATCCTCATGTTCTTTGGCCTGTTTGTGTGGCTGGTCGGGTTTGAGAACACCTCGCTGCCGAGACGCGTCTTCAAGGCCATCAACAGCTACATGAACCTCAGGACTTTACCTGGAGTCCTTCTCTTCACGGTCTTTGTCATAGTTGGCTCCAATGTCCTCAGCAATGTCCCTCTGGTCATCCTCATCCTGGATGAGCTTGAGACGTTTGAGTGTGGACTGAGTGACTGCTCGCAGCTGGCAGGGGTCCTCCTAGCCTGGGTCTCCACTATTGCCGGCAACTTTACCCTCATTGGGAGTGTGGCCAACCTCATAGTGGCCGAGAAGGCAAAGACCTGTGCCAACTACAACCTCACATTCCTCGAGTACCTCAAGTTTGGTCTCCCCTCCACAATCCTGGTGCTGTTTACCGGCTTGCCTGTTGTATACTTCACTGGCAAGTATGCAACTATCAGCACCCTATGAAAGAAAAACACGTAGACATGGACATACATAGTTTGTTTTGTAGCCAGTATCATCGTCACCAACAGTTGGGATTTTTGCAGTGCAAGCGTGCAACATGTCAGTCCGTCAATTTTGCAAAATCCCTATAAAAACCATACATGGATAGACAAGTCAGCCATTCATTTGTGTAGTAGGTAGCATCATTTTTGCAGTGAAAAAACTGCGAGCTCCATGTCACGTAAATGCGCATGCGCACGCCTCTGTTTGCACAAAAGTGGGTGGAGCTAGTTCGTGAGCGATGGAGACGCTGCTGATCCAGGCTGACAGGGCAGTGCTTCCAGGAGGCGTGCTGGAGGAGGACCCATGTACGTGGCAGGGGAGGGAGGGAGGATATCCGAGTATTCAAGGTCCGCTCCTCATCCATAATAATTGCAAGCACAAAGTTGCCCTGTGTATTCAGTCCCCTGTATCTAAACAACACTGCTGCATTAGAAGCTCACCTGCTATGACATTTCTTTCGTGTATGATGTGATTTAATGAACTGCTAGGGTCCGGTGGTGCATGATCTAGGTGGCCTTCCTCCCCTCACCAGGACCTGACACTGACAGAGTTCCAGAGTCTACTTGACTCCATGCCCAGTCTTCGTATGATGACCATCAGCCCTCAACCTTTGACACACCTCCAACAACTAACCTCCGCATTCAGCTCT